CCCCCCCTCGCCCACCTAGGCCACTCTGCGACAGGCCCATGCCGCCCGCCGCCCCCATGGCCGTCGATATGCTGGGAGGCGCACCAGCTGACGGAGGAGGACCCCCATACGCACCTGACACAAAGACACATGACAAGACCCCCCCGTGTCATGTGTCTTTGTGTCCCACATCTCTCTCTCTTCCCGACTGGACTGGACTGACCAGGGAACGACGGCGAGCCTCCGCCCCCATAAGGCTGTGGCCCCTTGGGCGGCCCGTGTTGCGGCTGCATGTGTGGCGCCTGCTGTGCTGACGGCGGGGGAGGGGGGCCAGTGGACGGAGTGGTGCGCGGGGGCGGGGGCATGCTGCTGCTCGGAGGGAGACGTGGCGACGGACCACCACGAGCTGCCGTCGGCGTGCCCCCGGTGGGAGGTGGTCCTGGTGGGTAGGAGGGCGACGTCGGAGGCCCGTATCGCGATGGCGGGGGGCCTATCCCCGCACCACCTGCACCGCCCGGCATCCCCGGATACCCCGGACGATGGCCCGGGGGACCTGCCGCAGGCAAGGCACACACCACAATGTCCCACACTCTTCTCTTTAATCAGACTCACTCACCATAGGCCCCTGCCGGTGGGTGGTGGTTCATCTGTTGTTGCTGTTGCTGCTGCTGCTGCTGCTGCATGTGTTGTGGGAAGAGGGGGCGCATGTCGTATCGGTCGAAGGGGAACCGCGGGGCGGGTACGCCGACCATGGCGTGGGGATTGGCGTTGTAGATGCGGTCCCGAAGGATGGCGCCCTTGTCGTCGTCAGCCACCTGAAGACACACACACACGGTGGGTGGATGATGCATTGTGGGCGGAGGGAGCCGTTGCTCACGAGCAGTAGGTATCTCATGGCGGCCGTCACGCGGCCAGAGTTGGCCAATATGTCGGCGTATTGGCTGCAGACAACACAACAGGCATACAGATCCAGGCAGACCCAGACAGACAGACAGCACGCCACGAGTGTCTTGGTTTCATCTCTCACGTGAGCTTTCGGCTGAACATTTCATCATGCCCGTTGAACTCTGTCGCAAACTGAAACACACACACACACACACACACACATAATAGAAAACACACACGTCTCTCCCCCCTCTCTCTCCCTCTTTGTGTGCCGATCTGCTCATGTGCCCATCAGGCAGCCAGCCAGCTGCCCACCCCATCTCACCTTGAGGACGGCCATTTTCTCGACAAGGTCCTGCAGCCCCGAGGTGAGGCTGCCCTGGCTGGGCACCATATTTGACCAGATCTGGACGGTGTCGTTGAAGTTGCCCGCACACAGGTAACACACCACCGCCGCACGAATGTCGAACTTCTCGTTTTGAAGACGGGACGCCAAATGCTCTGTGGGCGGTGTGGGGCAATGGGGGAGGAGGTGAGCCATTGTGTGATGGTGTCCTTTTGATTTGTTCTTTTTGCTTGCTTACCGCATAGGGAGGGGTATTTCTGGATGGGGGCGTAGGTGGAGAGGATGGCCAGCGTCTCCTGCACGCCACGCACCCAAACAGACAGACAGGCAGACAGGCATACACACGCATGAAGGCATTGACGAGTACACATGTTTTGTTGGTTGGTCGCTGGCCTCCCCTCCCTCCCTCCCTACCTGCCACTCGTTGAGGTCCGAGTTGCTGACGAGCGTTTCAAACTCATGTGTCATGATGTAGCCCACAGTCTGATAAGTGAACACACACACACACACGCACACACACACGCACACACAGACAGAGGCGTAGACAGAGATACCAACCAATGCACACACAGCTTGCCTTGCCTTGCCTTGCCTTAGCAGCGTACCTTGAGGAACGGGTCGGTCTGCCTCTTGAGGTACTCCTGCCTGGTCTTGTCCCACAGCTTCTCGCCGCCACCAGACGCCAACAGCAACGCATCAGCCTAGACTCACTCACAGGCACAGCCAAACAAAGAGTGGTGGGCCAAACAAAGAGTGGTGGTGGAGGGAGGGAGGGAGGGAGGGTGGTCGGTTGGCTGACCATGCGTCCGCTTTTGAGGCAGCACTCGACGGCAGCAGGGAGGTCGCCGATCATCAGTGCCTTCTTGATCAGCGCCTCAGGGCCAACGTCTGACATTCATCCATCCAGCAAGAGAGAGAGAGAGATGCACAGAGGGACAGACAGAAGGGGAGAGATTGGCATTGGTGGGGTCGTTCTGCTCGTGTCGTGTGCCCGTGCAGTGTGTCCGGCTTTCGTCACTCACTCCAATCGGACACTTGCACAGCCGGGGTGGATTGCGCGGGAGCTGAGCAACAAACAGACAGCCCAACGACCAGCATAGCATGCGGTTGCCTTGCCTTGCCTTGGCGCGGCGTGCGTGCTGTGCTGTGCTGTGCTGTGCGGGCTTGCCCACTCCCCACTCACTTTGTGGCTTGGCGACGTGCTTCTCCTTGTCCTGATTCTGGGCCAAATTCTCGAAGAACGCTGCGAACAAAGGCGCAACACACGAACACAGACACAGACAAAGACAATGTCATGCTCGCCCGTCTCTCTGTGTGTGTGCGTGTGTGTGCGTGTGTGTGTGTATCCGTGTCCTATGCGCACATTCGGCGTCGACCTCCGGCCCCAGCGATGGCGACTGCGGTATGGTGGACGAGGGCGCCGACCCACCAGTGGGGTCGCTGTCGTCAGCCAATATCGAACCTGGCTTCTTGCCTAAAAACTGGTCCATCGATGGGATGGATGGACGACACACGGACACCAAACAAAGGGATGTGTGTGGGCGTGTGATGTGGTGTGTGCTGGGGAGGATGCGCCCGAACGCTCACCTGCTCTGCTTTGGCGAGGATGGCTTGTGCGTCGAAGCCCAGATGCGCCACCACTTGAGGACGATTCTCGCCCTGCTCACACACACACACACATACACACAGAGAGAGACAGAGAGATCGGGATGGGCCGAATGCATTGTGTGCCGGTCGTGCGTGGAAGACTTCATTCATACCTTTTGGAAGAGCAGTTGGACGAGCTTCCACGTGAGCTTCTCGTGCTCATCCTGGGTGGTGTCGATCTGCACACACCACAACCACAACACACACACAGATGTATGTGTCGGTAAGGCATCGCACCGCCCCCGTCTGTCTCTCCCCAGCTAGCTAACCTTCTTTTGGCAGTAGCCCGTGTAGTCGCCAGTCGACTGCAGCTGCTCAAACTGCGGTCACACACCACACCACACCACACCACACACACAAAGAAAGACCAATCTCATACGCCACTGAGCGTCGCGCCCATCCCTCCCATCCCTCCCATGCCCCCCTCCCCTCACCATATCCGCCTCAGCGACGATCTCGGGCTCGCTGGGAACGATGTGCATGTTGATGGCCGTGGCCTGGCCGCTCTCGTTGCGGCCGAATGAGGCCAGCCGGCCGCCGAACCCAAACGACACGCCGGCTGGTCGCTGGAACCACCTGGGGGCGTACCGCACACCGGCGTTGCGGGACTGCTGCATCGAGTATATGGCCACCTGCATTGCACACCATACAGAGAGGGAAGGAGACGACGAGGGGAAATGGTTGGTTGGTTGGTCTGTTCGTTCATGAGGGTGGGTGAGGGAGAGGGAGAGGGATAGGGGGAGGGGGAGGGAGCGTGACCTTGTCGAGGTGGGATGCGCCTGCGAATACGGCGGGGATGTTTGGCGCCCACCGCACCTGGAAGTTCCACTGCTGGGTGATCGTCTGCACCACACACACACAGACACAGTACGCAACGTGAAACAATCGTTGGGCCTGTCTGTCTGTTATGTGCGATTCACTGACCTCTGAGAAGACCTCTGGCTGGCCGCTGCTGAAGACCCAACACACCGTACGATTGTCCTTGCCGCACGACAGCTGACAGACAGACAGCAGCCATACACACACAAAGGAAGACACACATCCTCGCCCGTCTCTCTCTCTCTCTCTCTCTCTCTCTCTTTGTGTGTGTGTGTGTGTGTGTCGTGTCAAGCCGCCCGCCTTACCATAAGGTTAGGGTCCATGAGGTTCCATGCGACGTCGAGGACCCCCTTGGAGTGCCCCGCTGTCTCCTTGAATGGGTAGTTGGCGTTGCGCAAATCCCACACCTGACAGACACGGATGCAGAACAAGTCACAGGTCGTGTGTCAGTCAAGTGTGGTGGTGAGGGATGACTCAGTCACTCACTCATTCCCTCACCTGCAGGCTGGGATTCCTGTCGTCGTCGTAGGCAACCAGTATCTGAGTCGCCTGCAATGCGTTCATTGCAACGACACACATCGAGACCACGTGCACAGGTCGGTGGATCGGTGGATTGGATGGATCTCCTCCCTCCCCCTTCTGTCCTTCTGTCCATTCTATCTCACCACTTCAGGGTTCCACGCGAGCGACGAACACCTCTGCCGATTTGCAGGGTCGCGGAAACTGACACACAAAGGGTCAGCCACACCAGCCACACCAGCCACATAAACAGACAGACATATGGAGCCTCTGATCTGATGATATGTCACCCACCCATGCCTTCCTCCCTCTTAAGCCCACCCACCTGATGGCTGGCTTCTTCATTTTGAGGTCCCATATGGTGGTGACTCCCGTGTTGGAAGCCGAGGCCAGGATGTGCTGCACCTTCCTGTTCCACTCCAGACATGTCACCTCCCCCGCACCGTGACCGTCATGCTCGCTCTCTGCAGACACACGTGGCACACACACGCACAGACAAAGAGAGAGAGGGTGCATTCATTGTGCTGCCTGCCGATGTCTTTTGTCGGATACATACGTTGTGTGGATCCCGGCTCGTAGATCTCAGGATTGGCGGGGTTCTCGATGTTGATGATGTGCACCTGCAGTGCACAACGCAATACACACACACACATACATACACACGCACCACTGTCCGGATCCCACTCCCTCCCTCTGTGGCTGGCTGTCTGTGTGAGCGACCTGTGAGTCGGCGCCGCAGGAGGCGAGGAGGTTAGACCTGAAGGGGTTGAACTCCAGGGCCGTCACCGACCCCTTGTGCACCTGCCGGTTCTGAACCATACCGGGGTCCTGACCACCAGACCTGCAGTGAGTGCATCGGTGGGAGGGACACCGTCACACACAACACACAGACACACCGACACACGACAGACACACGGCAGGGAAGGAATCAACTATCAGATGCCTCCCTGTAGAGTGCGTGTGTGTGCATGTTTCCTCTGTGCTTCTCCCTCTCTCTTTCTCTCTCTCTCCCCCACTACCTGAGTATGGACTCTGGGTTCCACAGCGTGACATATCCCCCTTCCATGCCTCCCGCCAGGATGCCCGTCGGGAAGCTGCCCGAGTCCTTGCCGAGGCTGCCCCAGGTGATGCAGTGGAACCGCCTCTCGACGGGGCAGGATGCCCTGCAGAAGATGTCCTTGGAGGGCTGGGACAGCTGGAAGTCGCAGAAGTCGAGGGACGGCTCCATCCCCATCGACCCCAGCGCCAGCAGGTTCGGCTGCGCCTTCAGAGGACACCACGCCAAAGTGGCGCTCTTGTTCATCTCTTTCAGCGCTGCGCTCATGGTCGATGAGCCGAGCGAGGCGCTTCACCGTTGGTTGGTCCGCAGCAGCCACGTCAGGGGAGGGAGGGAGGGATGAGGGTGGTCGTTCGTCGATTGGTGTGTCGGGGCTTGTGGGTGTTTTCGCCGGGCTGTAGGCCCTCTGATGCTGCTGCTCGGCTCAGATCTGCCGTTGTCCTCTGTTTCGGAGAGGTGTGCAGATCTCCACCAAGCTCGCATTCGCAACACGTGTGTTGGTGTGCTCGGAGATATCTGCCTGTTTGTGTGCCAGAATGCTGAGTCTGCTCGTTGTTCTCGGTGCTTTTGCATCGGCCGTCGCCAGCGACGTGGCCATCCTGACAAACGACAACTTCACCTCTTATGTGGACGGTGGGGTGACGGGGATAGCCGAGAGTGCCGCTGATGCGCATCAGCCTTGCGTGTGTTGTGGTTGTGCGTGTGCGTTGCAGGAAGCAAGAACGTCTTCGTGAAGTTCTACGCGCCATGTGAGCACAGATCTGAGAGCACATCACATCCCACCTCCGCCCTGCCTGCACGTGTGTGTGTGCTGATCTCTCGTCGTCAATCAGGGTGCGGTCACTGCAAGCGCATGGCTCCTGCGTGGGAGGAGGTGGCGGCCACCTTCAAGGACGAAGACGATGTCGTCATTGCCAAGGTCGACTCAACTGTCGAGAGGGAACTGTCTGACAAATATGAAGTCAGGGGCTACCCCACGCTCAAGTAAACACCACACAACACAACACAAGACACACACAGACGTCTCTACCCCCTGTTTGTTTGTGTGTGCTAGGTTCTTCCCCAAGGGCAAGACAGAGAGCGAGCCGTACGACGGCGGCCGGGAGGCCGACCCGATGGTGGAGTTCGTCAACCAGAAGGCGGGCACCTTCCGCAAGAAGGGCGGGGACCTCAAGGAGGAGGCCGGCAAGATCACCGCACTCGAGCCGCTCATCAAGGAGTACGCACAGTGCGCAAAGGGCAAGAAGGAGTGCTTCGACGGGGCTATGAAGAAAGTCGACGACGAAATCGCAAAGCAGAAGGTGAGTGACGGTGTGAGTCGGGTGGGTGACGGATGGGCGGGATATATTGGACGATGGGTACATCTGAGTCTGTGTGTACGTGTGTGTGTTGTGTGTTTTGTGTGTGTTGTGTGTGTTCAGCCTTCGATGGAGAAGGTGGCCAAGTTCTACAAGAAGATGCTCGACAAGATGGGCACCGACCCCAAGGAGGGACTCAAAGAGTGGAAGAAAGAACTGGTAACTGACCACTCTCTTCACGACACCCAGAACACACACACCGTCATCCATTCCCTCTGTGTGCATCTGGCCGACGTGTCTGTCGCAGGAGAGGCTGACGAAGATCGGTGCGGGTTCGATGGCTGCCGACAAGAAGACCTGGGTCACGCAGCGCAAGAACGTGCTCACCTACATGGTCTCAATCGCAGACACCGAGGGCGACAAGGACGAGCTCTGAAACACACACATAGACAGACTCAGCAGGGAGGAAGGCCTGCCTGCCTGCCTCTTTATCTGTGGGTCGTAAGTATGCTTTTGCCCGGGCCGTTCTGTGTGCGGGCGGACGGCGGTTGTGAATAGCCAGAGAAAGAAACGCAGCAGCGAGGAAGCACATACATCTGCGCTGCGTGCCGGCGTGTGTGTATATACAGCCCAGCCAGACGGGAGGAAGCTTTCTGTTCGTGTGAACGTCTCTGGATGGGCCATGATGTCGACCATCGATAGATGTGTTGATGTGTTGCCGCGGGGCAGCGGGGTTGGTGACTGGGCAACCGAATGGCAAAACATTCCGGTTGTCTGATCGCCAGCCGTCCTGCCACGACGCAGTGCATCACATCTATGTGGCACATCCTTCTGCCGTATCTATCGTGTCTTGTCTCGTGCTCCTCTTGTTTTTGCCTACTACCCTATCTGATCGAGTGCTGCCCGTCTGTCTGTCTGTCTGTCTAATTAGTGCGGCCAGTCCATGTCTGACTGTCTGCCTGCTTCTGTGTCTCTCTTCTCTGGCTGCTGCCTATGTGAGTTGCCTGCCGGTAGAGACCCCTCGATCTCTCTCGAGCGAGGATGGCGTAGCTGCAGCACAGCACCGTCTGTAGTGCCAGCAACGTGACGGACTCTCTCGCCTGTCACTCAGGCACCCTGACTGCTAATTAACTGACTATAGGGACGGCATTTCGTTGCATTTCGTTGACCGCCGACGGTTCGTTCGTCCACACAGACACACACACACACATACATGGTCTCCTATGTATGTATCACGACAGTCTCTCTATCTAGCTATCCTTCCTCGTCCCCCTCCCCCTCCTCGTCTCCCTCCCCCTCCCCCTCTTCGCCCTCCCTCTCGGCCGCCTCGGCCGCCAACCGCTGCCTCTCCGCTTCCTCGGCGGCGGCGGCCGCCTCCGCCTCCTCCCGGATGCGACGCTCCTCGGCCTCCTGCGCCTCACGGATGGCCTGAGGAGAGAGGGAGGGAGAGACATGACAAGCGAGATGGCTGTGTGTGGGGGTGGGTATGTGTACCTGCTCGCGTGCACGAATGGCGGCGGTCTTCTCGTCCCATTCCTTCTCGACTGCGTCACGCTCACTGGAGAGACACGGAGATAGAGTGGGAGGGAATGTGTTTGTGCTGTTGTGTTGTGTGAGAGTGTGTGAGAGTATGTTGTGTACGCTTGCAGTCCCGGTTGGTGCTGAGCGGCGATGTTCTCGACGGCTTGCTCCAGGGCCTTTTGCAACACTGAAGAGTACACCTGGCTGTCGGCCTCAACCTGCACGTGGCGCATCAATCCACACACACACACACAGGTATCTATCGGTTTATTCATTCGCCGGGCTCGTGTCTCTTGTCGAGTATGTACCCGGTGCACAACGTTGTCGAGCAGCCAGGGGATGAAGTTGGCCTCAACCGACACCCCCACAGGGTCTTGGAACACACCTGCAAGACCGACCGACAGACAGACCTCACCCCAGAAGTGTAGTGTGTCTCTCCCCCTTCTGTCCGTCGAACCTGCCGCGTCGAGTCCGTCGAGTGCCCTTTCCTGAAGTGCCCCGAGGTATGTGCGGCTGAGGTCGCGGGCCAGCAGCTTCTTGAACACAATGGCCTGCTGCTTGGCACGAGCCTGAGCCTGGGCCTTGCGACGCAACTGCACACGTAGAAACAGGCCAGGGAGACACGGCACATGAAGAGGACAGGCAGGCAGGCAGGCAGGCAGGCCGATCTGGCCTGTGTGCGCACCAGTTCGTCGTGTCGTCTTTTCTCGGAGGCCTCCATGCGCTGGACCTCGAGCAAGTCGCTGTTGCGCGAGCGGTCGAAGTCCTCCTGGTGCTGTCGGATCGCTGCCAGCTCCTCCTCCTCCAACACCTGTGGACAAAGACAGACACACAGCTTTTATGCGACTGACAAGGAGATCGGCTGGCAGAGACAGACAGACAGACCTCCATCATGGACTGCTCCAGCGTCTTGGCCACCAACACCTCCAAGATGGGCTCCACCTCACTGAAGGAGAGAAGCGCATGGCTGGCTGTTGTGTACGCTGTGTGTGCTGACTCTGACTCACCGGTCAAAGTCGAACAGCTCCCCCTCCTTGATCTGGGTGCTGACGTCCACCCCAATCTTGGCGGGCATGAAGAGCGGCGACGGCGGCCGATCGAGCATCAACTCAGTCTGCGTCAGGGCGTCAAACTGGATGGCACGATCCGTGATTTCCTCCAAATACCTACACAAACACACACAAGAGCCACCGACTGACTCATAGCGCTGCACCGTCTCCCTCTTGTTTGTCCGTGTGTGGCCGACTGACTGACCTGTCTGTCTGCACATCGATGTGCTGTCGTCCAAGGGGTGGGTCAGGTGTCCTCTGCCGCACAGGGGCGGTGCCGGGGCCCCCCGTGCCGGCCTGCTGCGCCCTCAGGAGTCTACGACGCTGCGCCTCCCGCTCTTTCGCTATCTGGACTGGATCAGGCTGCATCACCCGAACCCCCCACGCCACTCTACCTCTCAGACAAAGCGATTCCGTTGGCCATTCCATTGCCTTACCTGCGGCGCCGTGATGGCGGCGTATGTGTTGCCTCGAATCACGCGTTTATTGAACATCAGATTCTTGCTCGTGCTGCAGAAGGAAGGTGAGCAAACGATACAAGAATGAAGTATGCAGTAGACGTCATTCATTATTGGGGCTCGTGGCTCACTCCTCGGGCTCATCGCTGCGATACTTCTTCCTGGGTCCGACTGCTCGCGGCTGGGCTGCGAACTGCTGGGCAGGCGCCTCAGTGGCCGTCTGTGTCATGCCCCCGTGCTGAGGCTGCACCCCCGGAGGAGCCATGACTGATTGTACGGATGTGTCAGAACCCTAGACTTGTAATCAGAGCTGAGGTTGTCTGTTAATGCTGGGGACCAGAACTCTCCTGTGCGTCTGTTTTGTCGGGCGAAGACGCAGTCGAGCGCGCTCGCCCCCAAGACGCCGGTGGGGGCACGATGCGAGATCAAAAATTCGAATCGACGATGTCTTTTCTTTTCCGTACTGTACGTGCCTGTGTTTGTATATGGAAATGAGTAGCTTGTCATTTCTTGGCTGATTTTGCCCTGAAGACCGTCGTGCAGACGCCGAGCCGAATGAAGCGGTAAGACAAAAGGTGGGACGGTGGTGGCAATGGGGCTTTGTCTGTCTGCACAGCTAGCTGCGAGTACTTACACGAAAGCAGCACAGCACAGCACAGATATATGTGTCGGTGTGCAGGCAGATGCATGTGTGTGCCAGACTCTACAATGGTTGATGAGATTGATTTGCCTCGTTCCCTCTGTGTGTGCATGCATCGTCATGTCAGATAGAGGCTCGATGGCGTCCGACGACGGCCTACCGACGCCCTGGGATGGCCGGGACAATCCCTTGGGGTGCTTCATCAGCGGTACGAACTCGCAAGAAAGACAAGAACGCTTTCTTGCGAGATGTCTGCATTTCTGCATTCTCAGAGTCTGCAGGCCCTGTGGGCGGCGGCACTCTCTCGCGGGAGCCGTCGGCCTCTGCCCGCTCTCCGACGCTGCCCGAGGAGCCGACGCCCTCACAGTCATACTACCAGCACGACAACATAGGGGGCAACAGGCTGGTGCGCGACTGAATGATGCTGTTGTTGGCCTGGGCCAGCTCATGAATCTGTGTCTCTTTGTGTGTGAGAGTCTCAGATGGTGTCGCGTTCGACGTTTGACAGCGAGGAGGATGGTGGTGATTCGCTGCTGCAGCGGAGGGCCACCATAGCCCCTGGCGTCAACGATGAAGACGACGACAGGGAACTGCTCGAGTACCTCGATGGTCAGCCATAGACCATAGACAACACCCACCAGTTTCTCTTACGAAGGATGATGTCTTGACCGTCCCCCTCGCTCAGAGATCTGGCGGATGGGCCGTGACCTCAACGGCCCCCTCTCTCTCTCCAGCCGTCCCGTCCCAGACTGGCCATCGACCCCCAGCAGGAAAGACAGCAGACCTCCCGAATCGCACCCGAACCCTCGTCCGCACATACAGCATCATCTCCCTTGCCCATCGGCAGACAGCGGCCCTCTGATCGACCACCAGCCGATGCGCATCCACACGATCCAGGAGGACATCCCCTCCTTCGACGAGCCGAGCCATCCCAGGCGAGGCGAGAGACACGGCTGGGAGGACCGGAGGCACCATTTGCTGGAGGAGCCGAGGTTTGTGCAGCATCAGCATCAGCATCAGCAGCAGCAGGGGTTTTCTGACAGGAGGGGGTTTTCTGTCGGCGGATATGACATGGATGTCCCTGTGGCTGATGGTGGCGTTGGTGTTGGTGGGGGTCATGGCGGGTGTGTGTGCTGGGAAGAGGACGGGGTGGGGAGTGGGCCCGGGCCGGGGCTTCATGAGAGGTTTGACGATATGCTGATGATGGATAGTGGGCCATTTCCCTTGCAGAACACCCAGCCTGATAGCTACGCCCCCACATCGCAATACGCACACACCAATGGTGAGAATGGAGCACAATGGGGCTGTGAGGATACATCCATCGACGTTTATGTGTGTGCATGCAGGTCATCATCATCATCATCATCATCGCGACGAGCACCAACACCAGCAGCAGTCCATCCGTCCGCCTCAGCCGTCGGTCCACATGAATGCTCTCTACCCAGGCGGCCCCCTGATCATCCACCCGGCGGCACCCCCACCTCTGCTGCCCACCCCTCCTCGGCTGCCCATCACAATGCGCCCACACACCGGACCGCCGGTATATGAGGTGAGTGAGCGAGCTGCATATTGCCTCGACACAGCCATATGCTGTCTTTGTGTGTGCCGTATGTATCCAGAGTCGGCGTTCGTTCAATTCGTACAAAGGAGCGTTTTTCGGCCCCCGTGACATGCCGCCGCCCGACCCCTTCTACACGGGCCCCCCACCGGGCCGCTTTCTCGACGAGGGCTATCGCCTTCACACCATGGACCCGTACCTGCAGGTCTTGTCCTACCCCTGCATCCTCCCAAGACCTCCCCCACCGCCGATATCGCCCCCGCCACGGCGGGGCCCGGGGATGGGAATGGGCATGGGAGTAGGTGGGCCGGGTATGCCGTGGGGTGGTGGGCCCATGGACCCCGAGATGGGCATATGCGGGAGCATCCCGCCGCCGCCGATCATCCTGCGGAGGCAGCAGAGGAACGTAAGAATGCATTAGGAGGCTTCTGCAGCCTGTCCATTTATTAATATGGGGGGATGAATGGGGTGATTGTGTGGGTGTGGGTGTGTGGCGTAGGACGTGCCCAACGTGGGTGTTGGCGTGGGCTACGGGTGCGTGTCTCGCCGTGCGTATGGGAGCCCTGTCCGCTGGCGGCCGCCGGACATGTCTGTGGCAGACGGAGACATGGACGACGGGGGCCTCAGGAGGAAGAGAAGGTGACTTATGCGTCGATCGCCAGACGGCTGTGTGTAAATCTGTTTCCCTCACTGCCTCAGGCGGAAGAAGGTGACATCGCTCAAGAAGATTATCATCCGCGAGAGGAGCAGGAAGGAGACGGGCAGTCTGCACCCGTCCTCCTCGTCCACACATCCCCACCGCCCCCCCAATGACGACGACAACGCCTCGTCCGCCAGCCTCTCCCCTTCCGCCTCCCCCACATCCGTCCTTCTCACGCCATCGCTGCGCGACACAGCCTCTGCGGGCGAAGAAGAGGACGAACACAGGACTGGAAACAAGGTACGCATCGCATACCAGCACTGCAGCATTCGGGCGGGAAAAGTCAATCAATCCATTTTGTCCATCGATCGATCAGGGGTATCACTGTGCTCTGTCGTCCTCCCTGCCGCCCTCCCGTCGCCCCAAGGCCACCTTCTCCTACTGGCGACCGGTGAGGCGCCCTCCCGGCCCCCCAGTACCAGTGGCGGTGCCGTCCACGCACCCGATCCACAGCATCATCTCCCAGCATCCCCACCATCCGGCGGGCAAGTCGTGTCCGTCGCCGCCGCCGGTACGGGTGAGAGGGGGCAGGGAGCCCAGCCACTGGCCGAGGGACGACCTGCGGCTGCACATGTGGGAGAACGACGGGGCATGGTGAGTGAGTGGGGGTGGAAGGGCTGGCAGGAAGGTCCAGTGGCCATCCTGTGTGTGGTCTGTTGTGTGTGTGGTGTGTGCAGGATGTCTGCTGCTAACGAGATGTGTTATGTGTCGGAGCCAGAGCCTGACACCACTGTGCGGGTGCCAACACCAACACCAACACCGAAACACAGACACACATGGACGCACACAGAGAGACATATGTCCTGTCTCTCGTCTCTCGTCTCTCGTCTCTCGTGTCTCGTGCCTCATGTCCCGTTCGTTCTTCAGCGTGGGAGCGGAGGCCGCTTCTTCTCGCACAGGATATGCTACCACCGCCGAACCTTCATGGACCACGTACGTGGCCGGCCACCAGCATCGAAATGCATGGCACAATGGATCATGTGTCTGGTGACTGATGGATGGAGGGCCGTGCAGGCCATGAGTGCTGATCTGGACGATGCCGTGGCCCATTTCCTGGGGGACGTGCGCAAGCTCGAGTGCCGGTCCAGGTTGACAGACCTGCCGCCCAGCAGACCCTCCACACCCACAGTAACTAACTAGATCAGCACAAGAGAAAGCCCCGACACGTTCATCCGTCTCTGTCTTTTTTTTTTCCTTCTGTGGTAGTCTGAGGGTGCCTCCTCCTCTGCATCAGCGTCAGCAGCGGCAGTGTCTGCGAGGGATCGGCGTGTGGCCCTGACTGGCCTGCGCGAGGTGTCCCGCGCGCTAGCCATGGGGCGGCTCAAGGTCATTCTGGTGGCACCAAACATCGAAGAAATCACCAGCCTAGGTCAGTCAAGGGGGTAAAGGGGAAGCACATGGTGCGCAAAGAATGTGTATTGATCATGTGCAGGCGGGCTGGAGGACCGTGTCAAGTGTCTGATGATGGGGGCCGCTAAGAAGGAGGTGCCTGTCATATTCGCACTCAGCAGGTAGAAGGGCGAGAGGATCACGCACACACACACACACCGTGCTGTTTGTGTTGTGCTGCTGACAGGGCCCAGCTGGGTCGTGCGCTAGGGAAGAACATGAGGGTGAGCCTCGTGGGAGTGCAATCCATCCACAGGTGTGCAGACACGTACAAACAGGTGACTGACTGACACGAAAGAGAGAGACACGGAGACGCTTGTTGACATGCGACACCCTGAGTGAGTGAGTCGGTTTGCAGATGATAGAAACGTGGCTGCAGCACAAGTGAGGTGAGCGGCACTCAAGACTGATCTCTCTCTCTCTCTGCGCTGTAAACAAAACAAGACGCCAAGCGACGATGCGTGTGATGACTGGGTCCGGAAGGGTGGGTGGTCATGCCCCTCACAAAGATAGACAGAGGGGGCGGGGCTGTGTGTGTGTGGGCGGCAGCGAAGAAGAAGACAGATAGATAGCGGCCCTTTCCATTTCAGCCGGTGTTCCAGTGACTGAGCAACAGGGGAGTCGAGTGGGTGGGTGGGTGGGTACATTGAGGGATTGAGGGGTTGATGGACTGATGATGGATAGATGGACAGACAGACACACTGCACTGATCACACGGGGGTCCTGGTGGGGCGGGAGACAGACGGGAACAGTGAATTCAAAGTGGGGATTGTTGTCAGGAACAGAATATACCAACCACTTGTCCACACACACACACACACATGTCAAAATCCACTCACACAAAAGCAAAACACAACAGGGCGGGCCGACAGCCGACAGATAACGATCTATCCATCCAACACTCTATGCCCCCCTACCTGCCTGCCTCCACCCAAACCTGTCCATGTGTGCATCTCAGGTCATCCCCAGCCGTCTGAATGTCTCCCTGCCGCCCCGCCCCTTGTCGACCCACCCCACCGCCCCGCACTCGACCGCCGACACATCCCTGCTGAAGCCGTTGTCCATCTCCCCAACCACACCACACTTGGCCGCCTCGTCCAGGATGGCCCGCTGCACTACCTCACGCAACTCCATCTTGCGGCCACCCACACCGCCCACCACAAAGCACTGCAGCTGCGGCACACGCACCACCTGGCCGCCCACATCGGCCGTCCCGCCCACCACCTCCCTGTTGCTGCTGACCTGGTACACTGCCGAGCGGACGAAGTGCTCCGCTGCCGCACACACACGGCGGGCCATGTCGCTGTGCCGCACACCGATGGCCTCACCGATGGCCTCCTTGGCGACAGCGATGTCGAAGAGGTATGACGCGATGCGCCAGCCGAAGATGGGGGCCTCCTGCGGGCCGACGG